GATTTGGCCAAAAAGGAGTCCCAGGGAGCTGAAGGTGGCGTCCTTCCTCCCCAGCGGCAGTGTGTATCCCAGGGAGCTGAAGGTGCAGTCCTTCCTCCCCAGCGGCAGTGTGTATCCCAGGGAGCTGAAGGTGCAGTCCTTCCTCCCCAGCGGCAGTGTGTATCCCAGGGAGCTGAAGGTGCGGTCCTTCCTCCCCAGCGGCAGTGTGTATCCCAGGGAGCTGAAGGTGCAGTCCTTCCTCCCCAGCGGCAGTGTGTGCCCCAGGGAGCTGAAGGTACAGTACTTCCTCCCCAGCGGCAGTGTGTAACCCAGGGAGCTGAAGGTGCCGTCCTTCCTCCCCAGCGGCAGTGTGTACCCCAGGGAGCTGAAGGTGCCGTCCTTCCTTCCCAGCAGCAGTGTGTACCCCAGGGAGCTGAAGGTGCCGTCCTTCCTCAACAGCGGCAGTGTATATCCCAGGGAGCTGAAGGTGCAGTCCTTCCTCCCAAGCAGCAGTGTGTACCCCAGGGAGCTGAAGGTGCCGTCCTTCCTCCCCAGCGGCAGTGTGTATCCCAGGGAGCTGAAGGTGCAGTCCTTCCTCCCCAGCGGCAGTGTGTACCCCAGGGAGCTGAAGGTGCAGTCCTTCCTCCCCAGCTGCAGTGTGTACCCCAGGGAGCTGAAGGTGCCGTCCTTCCTCCCCAGCGGCAGAGTGTCCTGCAGGGAGCAGAGACCGTCAGTCTCGCACCCCAACCACAGGACAAAATAATGAAAGGGGAGACAGCTGGTCCCCCTCTCCACCAGCAGAGAGTGTGTCAGGGAGAGGAGCCTGATACCCCCTCTCCCCAGCGGCAGTTTACAGTTCAGAGAGAGGAGCTTGTTACACCCTCTCTCCAGCGGCAGCCTAACCCAGCAAGGGGAGATGTTACACCCCCCAACAGTGCAGATGGGACTGTAGTCTCTGCACTTACAGCACAAGGGGTAGGGACAGTCGGTCCTGTTCCCCAGCCACAGAGCGGTGTATCCAGAGGGGAGACAGTCGGTCTCTCCCTCCCACAACCAGGCTCCACCAGGCTACTTCCGTGGTAGCACTGGCATCAGGGCAGAGTACCGCTGGTCTCTGCCCACTCAGCAACCCACCAAGGCAGCCTAACAGTTGCCCACACAGTCGTGGTGAGGCACCTGGACATGACAAAGTTTTCCTCTACCCAGGTGTAGTAACCAGTTATTGTGGGTGGGCTGTACTGCTGTTTCTGTTTTGTGGGTGGGTTGCTGGACTAACCAGGGCACTGACCGGCAGGAGGTCAGATACCCTGTTAGTCTAGTTGGTAAAGGGGAGAAGTGTGGCGAAACCAACCTCGCCACTGTGAACTGGAGAAGCCTGGTTGCTCGCCTGCTCCCTTTGGACTATGGCCCTGCAGGTTAAACCGTTTATTTCCCCTGCAGAAAGGCTTATTTGTGTGATCTGAGTGCCATTCATCTAATAATGTGCACTCAGATCCCAGCTATCTGGGGATATGTGAAATGTCTGGGTGTTATGTGTAAATGTGACTTTATGTATTTTAAAGTGTTTTGTGTCTTTTTGCAACCATGTGCTTAATGGAGTCTTGTGTCTGTCCTGGGAGATAATTGAATTACTTATCTCCAGGATAGAAGACTCTGAAACTGGTTTGGGCCAGAAAGCCATGCTTCATTTAGTCACAAAGGACTTTTTACTAACTTTTGAACCCCTTGTCTGATTTGTGCCATTTTTGAATATGTTGTTCCCCTGAATGGATTGATTGTAAATATGTAATTTTATGTGAATGTGATGTATGGTTTTGGAGTTATGAAAGTTGGGTAGAAAGTATGTTTTAACTGTATGTATAATTGAGTTTCCTCTCAGGATAAGGGGAGGGAATATGTGGGATGTAACTGTGATGTGATTGGTTGTTTTGTAACGCCCTGTGGGCTGTACTATGTTTGTGGATTGGGAATAAAAGAGACTGTATGTGACAGTACAGGAGTTCCTGTTTTAACCCTCAAAGTGAAGTGTCGTCTCATTATTGGGGGAAGGATTTATTGTATGCTGTTCCAGTTTGACTGCTAGGAGAGTAAACCTATTCGTATGGTTCCTATTCAACTGTCTACAGCATTCATATGCTTGGGAGAATTTATTTGTTTCTCCGGTTCGGTGATTGGGGTGTCTGCCAGAGTGCTTTGAGTCCTCAGGAAGCGCTAGGAGCATCTTTCAACGGAGGTACCCAGTCGGGGTGCCAGGCGATCCGTTACAGAAGATAAGAGCTAGTGCAAAGCTAATGGCACATAATAAGCCTTTTCCTTGTTGCAACTTAACTTGAAACCTAAGCAAAGTATCTATTCCAGTGTAAGATTGTCTTTAAGTAAACCATGTTATAAAATCACTCTGGGTATGCTTTTACTCTGTTAGTACTCAATGTGATTGGCTTTACGTGAAGTACCTTTTTTAAATACTGAAATGTGTTGTGAGAGCTAAATCAATGTAATCACTATCACAATGACCTGATTTACCAGATAAGATAAAATGATTTTTCTGTCTTTATTTAGAGGGTAGAATTGCATAACTACCTGCTTCAGTAGAAAAGTTAGTGTCAGATGGATAGGATATATATCTTTCTCTAGACAATATCATTTTACAATGTAATGTGTAAATAGTTAATAAGCAATGTGAATTTTCCCAATATAGGCACCACATAGAAAAAAATTCACACAAACATACTCCATACAAAAACATGCTTACATTCAAACACACAAACACAGTTCTAAATACAACCCTGCAGGCATGGGAAATTGGTAGAGCCCCAGCTGTCAATGCATTGTTGGAGTTGCACGACAGATGGGGTTCTAACTTCTTTCCAACCTTGCAATGAAATTCTTGCACCAGGGCTCGTTCTACTTTAGTCTGTCACTGCGTTGGGGTGGAGGCGTGATTGCATGCCAGGAATTGGGTCCAGGGGGCCCAAGCAAATGCTTGGCACTAGAATTGCAAATACTACAACTCAAACCTCCACCATAGTCTAAAAAACATACATGTGACTTTGAGGAAGTCACTTGACTAATATTACAAAATCATACATAGATCCACAAGCTGGACGCTACACACCGCTGCTTTACTTTTAGTTGTCTTTAAAATGCCACAGAATTCACTGTAAAACTGTTGGCTCCTTCCCCCATCCCCCACACCAATATAGTGCTGCAAGTGATGACTATTTTACAATTTAATTCAGCCCCCCCTCCATATCTGGTACTGGGATATTGACGGGATATGCCCTAACTCACGTTCTCCGGGGACATATTCTCCGCTCATTGCTATATGCAGTACTATGTTTTTATGTAAGTCTGTTTTAACCATTAATTTTTCTGTTTCAGCACTGTATAATTTCTATGTCACATGGTGGGAGAGACACAATGAAGGCATACACAACTTAATAGACATGATAGGTAAATTTGAAATTTTATAACATGACAGGAGGCTTCATATTTGCTTAAGTCTCTCTTTACTAGAACTCCACAGCAGCACATTAACATAAGAGAAAAACACCAGAGACAAAACTCAGGAATCCATAAAAGGCTTCTCCCAACCAACTAATTCCTCTTTCTTTGCTGCTCTGCAGACAGTACAGGTCAGAGTACCACTGCCTCCTGTTCTATATGGGTGGTTGTGGGATCTATACTTTTACTTCTATTTGATTTTAAGATTTGATTTGATTGTATGATTTAATTTTCATGCTTTGATTTCAGGATTTGAGGTTAATGATTTAATTGTATGATTTAAATTACATGATTTGATTGTATGATTTGATTTTCATGATTTGATAGTGTGTGTTGATTTTGGGATTTATTTTATGAGGTGAAGTCATCTATTTTGCGGTTGTTTTCTTCTTGCGTGCTCTTTCTACCTCCCTTCCTTTTTCTGTGGGGTCTGTATGGGTGTCTTCCTCCACCCTTCTCTCTCTATTTTTTCCCTGCTCTCCTAGCGGGCATTTTATTCTCATTTTCTTTCGGTTCTTTCTGGTTTCCTTCTGTTTTCTTCCTATTGTCTTTCTGTGTTCCTAGTGGCCGGTGGGGAGCAGTTCAGTACTACCTCCCGTCCTGTCCAGCCACCGGGACCGCAGATAACGACTCAGACGGTCCCACGCGGGAACTGCCCCTCCGCCTGTCTCACTCCCACGCGTCCCGTACCGCTGGGAAGCAACTATCTTTCATGGCCGAGGGTGGCGTGGGAGGGATGACCGGCCACGTGGAAGCGATGGCTCCCGACCACGTGGGAGCGACTGCTCCCGACCTGATTTCGCCTCCCCACACTGCAGGGCCCTAGGTCCGTGCGCCGGTGGGGAAGCAGGTTGTATAAATTTGCCTTTTGGAAATTCTAATGTCACTACTATGAATTAATTTCTGGAGTGTTAGGTTTGAGCCCTTTAGAGTAAGGCACTTCATCTCTTCAACCTCACTTTCTCTGTTTTCCTATGGAAAGCTGTTTCTTTCACTCTCTGTTACAGAAGAGTTGGTTACAGTTCACAGAGTGTTAGGCACTATTCATCTGAAGAGCGTTATCTACACAGTAGAATGCTATGTACAGCTACACAGTAGAATGCTATGTACAGCTACACCGTAGAATGCTATGTGCAGTTGCGCAGCAGTGTGCTATGTGCAGTTGCGCAGAAAAGTGTTATGTACATCTTCTCCGAACAGTGAATTGTAGAATTAATCTGAAGAATGGAAGGGCAATTTATTGCCTGTGCACCACCGTAGGGCCTGACTTGTCTCTGCCCCACGATTTGGGCGGCTTTGTCTGTGCCCCATTGATCTTGCCTGCGTTGTCTGTGCCAGAATATCTGCATGCCAAGCCTTGTGACTACATACTCACGCTTGGACGTTGTATGCGGTGCCAAATTTGCCTCTGTCAGTAGATGGGGTGCTGCCGGTGACACTCCTCCATTATACCCCTAGAGGTCGCCTTGCCTAGGACCGCTCCACGGTCATCCCTTCATTCGGGGGAATGAACACAGGGGTACTACGGCAGCGACCACCTTCTAAAGAAGGCGGGAGACTTGAAGGAGGGTGAAGGCCCTAGACCAGACGCCCGGAAGATAGACTCCGGAGAAGCGTCTAACCCCGATGCAATCGGCACTGCCTATATGGCGCGAGGGAGGTGGTGTCTTTCGGACGCGGCAGTGACCACCTGTCTAATAAAGACAGATGACTTGAATGAAACAGACTCTCCTAGAGGAGAGCAGGCAAGTGCTACTGGAAGGGTGAAGGCTGGAGGGGTGAAGGCCCTAAACCAGGCGCCCGGACAGATTAGATTCTGGAGAAGTGTCTAACCCCGATATGATCGGCCTCGGCGGCCAGACTACACTGCCTAGGTGGCCCAGGGGTTATAGTCCTCCTGACCCCACCCCCACCACGGCCGCCTTAGCTGAATGGAGGGTGGACCGGTCCCTCTCAGAAGAAGAGGACGATGGGGGGGTGGACTATGATATGACCCCAAGTGGCACCGTGGGACAAGCCCACTATAGGGGCTCCGACGACTGTGGAAGAAGGTCATCTCGTGGGTCACCTTAAACGAACCCCTGTGTGACCCTCGACCAATTGCTAATTTCTTAGGAAGGGTCTTGGCCCGGGCACCTAGTAACATCGGTGCTGGGACTGTAGATCGCTGACTTGAGAAGCCCGCAAGATACTTGGCGTGGTATACCCAGCCAGGCTCCCAAACAAAGTAGCCTCATACCCAGACTTAGACCCCGATGGGGTGCTACAGCTCTCCTGGTGGCAACGCCTGTCTAGTATACAGGAGATCCAGAGTATGGCCCACTGACAAGCCAAGGGTTCTCCCCGACACGAGTGGGTTGTCCTACGGGACATACGGAGAAAAATATTGGGTCCCAGTTTTCATATGAAAAAATGTTAGACCTATCTAAAGCTCCAACCCATACTTGTTTATAAGGGATTGAACCCTGGGCCCGGAATGTCACAGTTGCCTCCACCTTCGGATGACAAAACAGATGGGACCCTGAACCTGGGGATTGCAGGAGACCCTATCTTAGTCAATTCGGTCCACTGGAGGTGCTTGGGTTCAAGGGATCTGAGGCCTTCGGAGCCCGCACGAGACTACGCTTGAAGGTATAGCCATTAGTTACTTTGCATTAGACGCAGTCCTCAGGGAACTTCCAGGACCGCTTGGCCCATTCCTGGTAAAGCAGGCTCAAGTTTCTCCCTGGAGAGATAAGAACCTGGGGTGTCATTCATTTGGATGATAATACAGCCTGGCTGGCAGGTTTGGATGAATTTAGGACGTTCGGGCATACCAGATGTAACGGCACCCCAGCATAAAAGGGGTTAAACCGCCTTAGGAGATCTTCCCTTCCAGAGACACAGGCATAGCTACTGCAGAACACCAAACTCCCAAACTGGATTCAAGGGAATGCTCCAAACTCCCGAACTAGAGACACACGAATAGCTGCTAGCAGCTGAACAGGAAAAGCACCCAAGCGGCTTACACTCCTGGCAATCAGTCTCTAACAGCATACAGTAAATCCCACCAAGAACGAGACAAGGCTCTGTTTTGAGGGTCAAGCAGGAACAGACAGAGCTGTGGGTTTATTGTTCTTAAATACAGATTAGTACCACCCACAGGGTTTCTGAAAACAACCAATAAACACATACAATACACTCAGACACTCCCACACAAAATCCTCCCCTCTGCCTGTGATACAATTACCTTACACAATGGGTAATGAAATTATAACAAGCAGAGAAATACAGTTTTTCCACATTATTCATAACTTGAAAAGTATGCATCACATTCACATAACATTTACATTTTCAGAATCAGCATACTCTAAATACAAACAAAATATGTCAAAATCATCAAAATTGGTCCATTGGTTCAAAAGATAGATCGAAGTCCTTTGTGACCAAATTAAGCATGGCTTTTCTGCCCAAAACCAGTTCCACAGTGTCTTCTATCCTGGAGATAATTGGGAAGTAATCAAATTATCTCCAAGGACAGAGGCAAAACTCCATTAAGCACATGGCAGTAAAAAGACAGTAAAATACAATGAAATACACAAGGTTACATTTATTACATGAAATACAGACATGCAACATATCCCCAGATAGCTTAGGTCTGAGCACACTTTATTAATGAATGGCGCTCAGACCACACACATACCGTTCAATTGCCATGGAGCCAAAGCCTTTCCCATAGTCTTTCATTATACGAATGGGCTCCATGGCATAGCTATCTGGGGTATCACCGCTCAAACAGGGCAAGCTCCGAATGGCCTGGCTTTCATGTCTTTGCAGGGGAAAATCAAGCGTTTCAACATGGCGCCATTGTCTAAAGGCAGCAGGCAGGCAACCAGGCTCCTCCAATGCACAGTGGTGAGATTGGTCTCGTCACACCAGAACTATCCGAAGAGATCCTTCTCTTTTTTTTCACTGGGGATGTTTTGCTGGACAGTCTACCCGAATGGGCTGGCTGGATCCGTGACGACCGATCTGCGTTTTCCTTGTTTGGGTCCCTGGAGTTCATGTTCAAACGAGGAATATTGACCCCCTCTGTGGCTCGAGGTGTAGAGTCCTGGAGGATGGATCGGACACAAGGAGGTACCTCCTACGTTTTCCCCCTATCAGAGTTTCACATACAATTGAAATAGTTTTCCGTGAAGACCCAGCGTCAAGACCTTAGTCCACGGAGGAGGATCCATTAAGCCTCATCCAGTTTCAGCTGGCATACAGACCGGTTTGCTCAGTAATGGACGTTTCCTTCCAGGGGTGTTCAACACAGAGTGTCTCGATCTGCTTGTACCTTGGTTTTATAACCTCTGCTTCGGCCGAGTCGAGACTAGTGCCCGGATTCCCTGGACCTGTCCCACTTAATCTCGGCGACCGTAAGACGTTTGCCTGCATGGCCACCCTGACGGAGTTGGGTCTGGTACAGATTAACAGAAATTTTGCAAACACTGTTACAGGGTTCGATTATTGTTTGGTTGTTTTTATTGACCGGGGACTGTCGTATCACTTAGATTAGGTAGGGTGTACGACTGTTTTTTTGGCGGGCCTCGCTCTGTTCGTATCTCCCTTCGAGCTAGATGTGCGGGTTCATAAGGGTGTGAGTCCTCTCTATTCCCGAGGACGGGTATTCATTTCCCTAAGGGGTACATGCGTTGTTTGTTATGCCTCAATCACCGGTTTTCATTGTTTTTTGTCCATCTCCGACTCTACATTAGTTGGTTGGGAGAAACCTTTTATGGATTCCTGGGTTTTTTGTCTCTGGTGTTTCTCTTTATGTTAATGTGCTGCTCCGGTTTTCATCAGTTTTTGGCCATCTCCTACTCTAGATTTGTTCCCCTTATCTAACCCTTTTTTTCTTCTTTCAGATGGGTTTGAATGTTCGGACCTTAGTTGTCTATCGGCTTTAGTCGACCTGAGGGTTATACTCTTGTCTTGGTTGCGCGCCCCTCTTTTTTGTTGCGGTGGACGCCACCGTTTGTTTAGACGGTTCTTTTCCTTTTCTTCGCCGTTCATGTTCCGCCTGGTGGTTGTTGGCATTGGCGGGGCGTATAGATCTTTCTGTTCATTTCAGTCGGTACTCTGCGACTTCAGACGCCCTCATGGCGGGCGTTTTTCTCTAGGACATTGTACACTTTCCTGCTGGTTATGGGAACTATCTTCGCTAAGTTAGGTTGGTACGGCGGACTGTGTTTCTTTGGGCTCCAAGCGTTAAAACAGCAAATATGAAGCCTCCTGTCATGTTGTTAAATTGTAGATTATACTAGCTGTAGTGTAAGGGAATCAACACAGTAAAGGAGGAGGCTATATTTAAAAGAAGAAAAACTACCACAACAAGAGGACATAGTCTTAAATTAGAGGGACAAAGGTTTAAAAATAATATCAGGAAGTATTACTTTACTGAGAGGGTAGTGGATGCATGGAATAGCCTTCCAGCTGAAGTGGTAGAGGTTAACACAGTAAAGGAGTTTAAGCATGCGTGGGATAGGCTATCCTAACTATAAGATAAGGCCAGGGACTAATGAAAGTATTTAGAAAATTGGGCAGACTAGATGGGCCGAATGGCTCTTATCTACCATCACATTCTATGTTTCTGTGTTTCTAACTATAATCTTAATTTTATTAATGACAGGATGCGAATATTTCCCTCCCAGTTTCTCCCTTCCCTGGTTTGTTGGTTGGTTTGACTGACTTTTGTTTGTTCCTGGGCTAGGTTTGTTAGTCTGGGGGAGTTGGGGTTTATCTGGGATATTATACCGTCAGTATTGATGATGGGGATTCATGTTTTTCTCAGTAAATTTCATTCGCTAATCAGTATTTTCGACTCTCTTTATCTCATTTTCAGTTTAATGGTTCGGCTACAGTTTTTAGAGCTGACTAATCTACAGGATAAAGGTCAAGGCTTCATCCACTGGTTCCACGTTTCCAATTTCGGATGGCATTCATTGTTATCTTATGTTGTTTCTTTTGTTATTGTATTTGTGGTGTATCGTTCATGTACTTTATTTTGTCGCAGCGTGAAAGAGGAATTAGTTGGTTGAGAGAAACCTTTTATGGATTCCTGGGTTTTGTCTCTGGTGTTTTTCTCTCTGTTAATGTGCTGCTGTGGAGTTCTAATAAAGAGAGACTTAAGCAAATATTCGCCTCCTGTCATTAATAAAATTAAGATTGGTTACACTACAGCTAGTATAATCTACAATTACCTCCTATTATGAGAGAAGTTTAAATCTACCAGAGAAACGTACAGTGGTAATGAAAGGTATGGCAAAACTTCCCACAGAAGGGTGCTTCTGCTCCAAGCTATTCCATAAAAATGTCCACAAATTTATTATAGCAACATTGCTAAAAATAAAACTAGAGGAGTAGCTATCATGGTGGGGAGACATGTGCCATTTACATACAGTAGGGGGCAGTTCTTGATACTGAAGTGTAGTCTGGGAACCATGAAGGTGATGTTAGTTAATATTTATCCACCCAATAAAAACAAAGTGTAAAGTTCAGTCGCATAATGTCTAAAGTAAAAGCTGAAGCAGAAAGCAAACTAATTATAGGATGATATTTTAATGTATCATTGGATGCCCATGTAAATAGCACCTCCAACAGCCAACCATATTTCCTAGCCACTAGAAAACAAATGAATCAGATACTATATACAAATCAACTAGTCGACTGCCGGAGGATGCTGAACGCGGGAGTAAGAGATTTTACATACTACTAGAAC